GGGTCTTCAAAATAGCCCCTTCTGTGGAGGAGGTAAGGATATTTTCTGGAAATACACAATGTTAAGTTGGTGGGATCTCATGAAATTCATGCCCAGCATGGAGAAATGCTTAGCAACCCTGCGAGGGGCAGCCACTGGAGATGCTAACTACAGTGATACTGTAGCATCAATGGAAATGACTTAAGCTTGGAAATGATCAATTTACTGGTAATATACGTATAATTATGTGCTTAAAGTGCACCTAACCCTCCAATTTGTGTTTCCGGCTACAAATCTACATGTACTCTGCTAAGTGGCAGATCAGCCAGGAAAATGTTTCATTCTAGGTAACAACTTACTGACCTAGCCCTGCAAAGTCCTTGCTAAATGACAACAGCCAGTAAAATAAAATTTTCCCATTAGGGTGACCATAAAAAATAAATAAAAAACAAGTTGACAATTGGCACCTTCTTTTGAATCGCCTGTTACCTCCTTGAGCACCTGTTCATCTAGATTGAGATATCTGTGAATATGTGCTGCTGCCTAAGGAAGAAATCACAACAAAAGAGAAATGCAAGAATTTATACTTACTTATTATATAGACTACATGTACTCATAAATTGTATTACTGAAACTGAATGATCTTGATCATGCGCAAGTATTATTTTAAGGCTAATACATGACATGTGTAATTGTGTGGATGCACATTTTTGGGCAGATAAGGATGACAACTGCAAAAGTTGCAAAAATGTTAACATATTTTTCCCGGGTGTGGGCGAAGGAGGAAGAGGGTCCCTGATTGGCCTACAGTGTACAATTACACTTAGCCCTTGCATATGAATACCTGTTATGCCGTAGGGTCATCTCAGGTCTAAATTAATCCTTAACTTGTTTGTTTCTCGCTTCATGCTACAGAAACTGGGATAAGCTCCTGCCTGATGGGTCACTTGGCTCATATATGCAGACTTTACCTTGTGTCTGTAAGTTTGGTATCAACTATCAAATTTGATTAAATGATGAAAATGCTGGCCTGACACATTATAACACACCTGCTCAAAGTGGTCAGTGTTAAGTGCAGTCTGTACACCATCTACACAGGCCTACAGAATAGGACAGTTAAAATAACGTCAAACCTGTGTTGTCAAACACTTCTAATCTCCACACACAGGGACAGTCAATTAAGTGATGAGTTAGTTAGGTTTCAGATTTACATGGATCTTGGAAGATGTACTGTACGTGTTTGAGAAGTATTACATGCATATATCGAAATATTAATTAAATTACTATAATAATAGAAAATGGTGTACAATTGGAAGACTAACAATATGCTTGTCTCATATAAGTCATGCATCTAAAAGTATCTCTCTTAATTACCAAATGTAATAACAGTCATTGATCTCAAATAAAAGACATATTTAGAACTACACTTAAGATTCATTATACATTATGGAAGATAAACCCGCTCATTGCTGCAATCAAAATGTATTATGTAGGATTTAGTTTCATAATCAGATTCTCTTCCCCATGAACCCATAACAGAGCAGGAGAAAAAGCTATATATCTGTACAGTGTATATATGTAATCCAAGTACCTTTAAATCAAGAATGTCATCCACTTGTTTGATTGTTTCTTGAACTCTGTTCTGAAATCAATACAGAATCGAGTAGTAATGCTCTTAAATGCAATTTAACAAAGTTAACAACAAAGAGTAGCTGGTACTTCCGGTCAGTGGTATTTATATGGTATTGTATGCTCAGTGTTCTTTGCCATTGTAATAGCCTGTTCCAGCATGATGGTCCCTGGAATGGTCATTTTGGTAGAAATCATTAAATATTTTAACACAGAGCTAATTAAAACTTACTGCTGGCCTAATAGTTTTTATATCTTAAAAGGAAATAAAAAATGATTTAATAGGCCTTTTCAAAAACCTGACAACATTTTAAAAACAAAAACAACAAAAAGCAAATTACTGTTTAAACTATCTAAATAATGTTATCATCACATTACCAGTGTTAAATGTACTATCATAATTAGGATTTAACCAGTGTAGCTATATGACCAACCTTAACAAGATCCAGAAGTCGTACTTTACTGCTGACCTTTTCAGCTAAATCTGAAGTGTTGGAAATCATGGTGTGCAAATGCTGGGCATCTCTCATCACTAACTGCAGGTTAGGACTGAAAAATGCATAACTATGGTTACAGTATATGACCAAAGATTCACTCTGTCTAATCAGAGCTATGATGTAAGCAGTTTTATTGCATGTCAGAGTAGTTTAAGTAGCTGGCTTACTAAGCACAACAGATGGTGATTTTTACCAGCAATCACTTTGGCATTCCTTAAGAGCCACTTACTTCAATTTTCTTTATGTTATCTCTCACATCAACAAATATATAACTTTGTTGTAGCTCAATTAAAGCCACTTTTTACTAGTGTTTTAAGTTAAGCTACTTCACATAAATTATACATGCACTACTCACATAACATTCTGTAGTGTATTTAGTTTTGCATCAAGCCTTGGCTGGTTGTCTAAGATGGCATCAAGCTCATTATTCAATTTTTGCTGATGACAAAAAGGAATAGAAAACCAAATTGTTATAATATGTTTAAATAACACTCTGAGAGGAGGGAAATCTTCATGCAATAATTCACTGTAAATTGTGTTTCAATCAGTTGTTCAAAGTTGATTCTTCTGAAAGCTTTCATGAGATCTTTACCTGGCTAATTATTATATACATGTAACAAAAACTAAAAAAAAGAATTAAAAAAGATTGTTCATGTTCTCAGATGTCCTACTAGCAAGTCCAATCAGTCTGCGATGGATGATGGGACATTAGGATTGGGTTACCTACATGTATGAGCTGCCAGGAATTTTCTTCATATTTTTTGACAGAAATAATGATCAGCTCTGAATGGCTGTTAGCCACTTGCCTCTCTTTACCTTATTTGTAACCCCATCTATCTATTCAATAGAATACTTTTCTTTTTGTTCGAAAATTAGCCTTAAGGTGTTGCTTCCAAAAATATCTTACTTCCCTCTCCATGGAAAGTTTTTGGTCAGAGTTCCCCCCCCCCCCCCCCCCCCC